AAAGAGTGTCTCTAGTCAAGGCAACGGTGGACAAAATGCGTGGATGTGGTTTTTAGGCAGCATTATTGGTGCCTGATGACGAAACAATTAGCAGAGCTGCTAACGCCTGCCTTCGCCCATTTTCTAAACAAACAAGCATATTAAAAAATCACACGTTTTCTGTTGCTACACGGTTTTCTTATTTTTCTTTTAATATACAACTATATTAATTTTAATTCGTTGATCCCGTGACCTTGGTTTTGTGTCAATTGGCGAAAATATCCTTCAGAGGCTCTTCATTTCACGCATCTCTCTATTCAGAAACTCTTGGCTTGGTTTGAAAGCTTTTCCAACCTCAACTTGTTACTGCCAGCTGCTCCTCTTCTGGAACTAAGCTTACACCCCCTTTTTTTTTTTTTTAATGTTCAGAGTGTTGTGCACTATATTTGAAAAATATTTTTTTAAAATTAATATATTTTAATATTTTTAAATCATTTTAATATATTAATTTTAAAAATAATTTTTAAAAAATAAAAAAATATTATTAATATATTTTTTTAAATAAAAAATATTTTAATTTTTAAAAAATAAAAAAATATTATTAACATACCTTTTCAAGTAAAAAATATTTTAAAAAGCAATCACATTTTTAAATATGTTAATGTGAGGTGTGATGCAGGCAAAAACACAAAAAAAATAAAAATAATAAATACATAAAAAATAAAATTTAATGTACAACACGGATTATAAACATGAATTCTAAATTTATAATTTTATTTCTTAAAATAAAATGTAATGATAGGCCTTCTAAAAGGATTACAAGTCTTTTAAATATAACAAAAAAAATCAAGCTTCACCGAGTAATAAAATCATAATCCTACAGTATAAAGAAAAGTAATAAAAAAATCCAAAATAAAACGTAAAATTTAAAAAAATCAAAGAAAAATAATAAAATTAGCTTAAAATAGGATAAACCAAGTTTAATTTGAGAAAATTCTGTAATGAATGAACCATACCTACCAGTCTCTCATTAAATTAGATCTTATTATAAAAAATACACTGCTAAATCTTAGGTCACGGATACAAAAAATTATGTTTATAGCTTTGATGATGTGTAAAGGGTTACACTTTTAATATTGCATTCAACTCTAATTATATAAATACAGAGGATGATGTGTATGCATGTTATGTATACATGGACACAGAGCATGTTAAAAGTCTAAAACATAGTGTCTCTTCTGGTTTTCTCTCTCTCAAACGGAGGACTAAAACTAGATTAACCAGATTTTGATAGAGTGGACCGGAACTGATCGAAACAGGCTCTTTATCTGGTTTAATTACAAGTTCAGCTTGATTTACACTCTGGATTGCTAGATTTTCGAATCAAGTTCGTCGAGTAAGATAAATTCTATACATGATTCCGAATCTACTCTTGAAATTTCACCGGGTGGGATCGCTACAAACAAGCAGTGGATCCTTCTCGTCGGATGAAGTTTTCTCGGGAAATCAATTGTTTTCGGTGGAGTCATTATCCTTCTCGTCATACTTTTACTCTTGACACCGATAATTTTTTTAAAATTACCAAGCCATGGCATCCTATTAGTACACTTGGAATAACGATATAATTTAACCAAAGGCAGACGTCAAAAACTCAAAAAAAATAAAATTCATAATATTTAGAGTATGAAAATATAGTGCAAACCATGTTTATAATTTTTTAAAAAAAAATCACTAAAATTTAATATATTTTATATATTTTAAATTGTTTTAATGTGCTAATATCAAAAATAATTTTTAAAAAATAAAAAAATTATTGATATCCATTTCAGCATAAAAAATTATTTAAAAAGTACTAATAGCCATACTACAAAATAGATTCTTATTAGAGATGACGGTATATTTAGAAGAGCAATTAAATTGTGTTCTTAAATATTTTTATTTTTTATTTAAAATTATTTTTTTATTGGATCCATATCAAAAATAAATTTTAAAAATAAAAAAAAATTATTTTAATATATTTTTAAATAAAAAACTTTAAAAAATAATTTTTATCACTGTAGCAAACAAAGAGCATCAATCGGCCCGGCAATAGCATCCAAATTTGGCAGCACAAGTCTGTCCAATATTTACCTTCCCAATAAGAGTGTATGATTTAAGACAAAAGATGCCTCAGAAGGACTAAGCGCTGCCTCCTCCACGTTCTTCACAGTTAAAAACTACTCCAATCTCTTCCAACGGAAAGCCTTTTCTTTTCGGGCGTTGCTGCGGCAAAACGAGCTGAAGAATCGATGCCTCGATGGTGCCATTGATTATTTCACTTGCTGCTGATCATCTCGTGATCATCCGTGCTCGAAACCGTTCTTTATGAAACTGGTTTTGGATTATCACAGCTAGCTTGGACTTCCGGTTGTTTTAGAAGCGTGTTATAAAAATATTTTAAAAAAAATTAAATTTTTTTATTTTTTTATTTTAAATTAATATTTTTTATATTTCTACATCATTGGTTCTTTCATTTGATTGGGTTGGGGTGTTGGGAATTCCGACCGGTGATGTACTGATATTTGCTCATAGGAGGCCAAGCGCGCTTTCTACATCATTGGTTCTTTCATTTGATTGGGTTGGGGTGTTGGGAATTCCGACCGGTGATGTACTGATATTTGCTCATAGGAGGCCAAGCGCGCTGACACAATATTTAACGTGGTTCGGCAAAACCGCCTACATGCACAGGAGAAGTCATTGCATTATGTAGGGAGAGTGCAATATTTACAACAGTAGAGGAGAAGGAATCATCCCTCTTTCACAACTCTCAACCTCACTCTATTTCTCTCTTTTTAGTGCTGCAATGGTAGCCCACTCTCTCCTACATTTCTCACATCTTTGGCTCTTTTCTTTCTCTCTCATTTTGCTCTCTCATATATGCCTCTATTTATAGGCATTCATGGAAGCTCTTTTTAGTTTGTTGTCAACATTAGTGGCTACCAACTCTGGCTCATTCAACAATAGTGGTTACCAATAGTCAATAATAAATGGTTAGTATCTTACATGAAATGACAACCAACCTAACATGGTGCCATTACATAAGCTAATAAAAGGTTGAAGGTAGACAGCCCTTCTTAATTCCTGTTGATTAAAATTGCATTAATCCATAAATTAAATCTTGCATTAGTAGCCCTTAAACAGATTGTTTGATTTGATTTAGTAAAGCGAGTTTAATTGAATGGGGCTCTGATTAGATTTAAAGTTCTTATGAAAAATGATTTTTGACTTTATAATACAAGTATATTTGATAAAAATGACTAAAATCAGTTTTTTAAAAGAATATATATAATATAAATAGGAGTTCACTGGTTAAAAGTTATTAATTTTAGTTTTCAATCAAATACAAATCTGACTCGGTTTTATCAGAAACTTTTGATTTAAATAAAAAATTGTTTCCAATCAAATATATTTATCATTTTTATATAAGTTAAAAAATAAAATATAACTTAAATTGATTTGAAAAATTCATATCAACCATGAACTTAACAGTGAATAAAAACAAATGACATTTTATTAACCAGTAGTCCAAAGGATTGGACATCTTTAAGACTGTAACCATGAAGAAATGGAACCTCTAAACAAATTAGAAGTTATGTTCTTCTTCAGCAATTCCACCAAAAGTGATATTCGCTGTTGCCAACTGAAGCATACCACTAGCATACCTAATTTTTCTATCTCTTTATCTATCTCATCTTGATAATTTTTTTTAAAATCTAAATAATTAGGGGTAGAGATTTATATTTTAGATAATAAATTAATTTTTAATTCTAGCAATTAATTTTTAATTATAGCAATTTAATCTATTTTTCTCGGTTAAAATGGCTAGAGGCGGGTGTCTGATACATATAAAGAATCTCTTTTAATAAATTTGAGGATTCTTTGATGATCAAATAAGTGATTTTTTGAGAAAATATATAATGATATTATAGAGAGATATCTGAAAATAAATATATAATAAAGAATGAAGATTTTAAACTTTTTTTTTCTCGGTTGAAGAATTCATAATTTATTTATAACTCATGAGTCTTTTTATTAAAAAAACTAAAATATAATATTTTCTTGATAATTTTAACAAGAAAAAATATCTCTGATATATATAATAATAAGAGAAAATATCACTAATATATGTGTTAATGTTAATTGAAATATGATGGATTTTTAAATAAATTTTACACATTCTGTCTTATATAACATTAATATCGATGAAAATATGATGAGTCTTTAAATGATTTTTATACATTTAAGAGTATAGCAAGGATAAAATTTAAAACATTTCTTAAATTTTTAATATTTCATTTCTTTCTTTGAAATCATCTATTCTCAATCTTGCTATCTAGGGATTGAATAAAACAAGAAGTATAATTTCATGTTATTTCTTTATTATTCTTGATATTTTAAATAGTTTTTAATAGATATTTTTTTTAAGAATTTTGAATAATTTCCTCTCTTTATAAAAAAATAATATCTTTCTTAAAAAATAAATATTTTTAATTTAAATATACTTGGACAGCAGGTTGTCACTAATTGTAGCTTGATTGATTACTTGGTAGAGTACCAAGGTGAAGATAGCATACATATTAAATTTTTTTGTTGTTCAGAAAACTAATTTAATAATTCATTAATTTAAAATTTAACATGAACTTAATTATATATAAAAATAGCTTAATTAATCAAATTTTAAAAGTATTAGAATTACTATAAACTTATATAATCATTAACTTAAAAACATGTAAGAATAGCTAATATACGAATAAATTGATCGAATATATATGTTAAAAATAAAAAAAAGCTTAATATAATCTTATATTTTATTTTAAATTGCTGATTGATTTAATTAAATTTATTATTTGATGAGGTTAAATTTAATAAATTTTTAATTTTTTTTATAAAAAATAATATTATAGCAAGTGAAATCATGCTAAAAGGACGGGCAAAACAAAGAATTGAAAGTTTGGGAGCTATGGTTTTAGCGATAACCTATGGGAGAGAGATCCACTGAAATCAATAGCACCGGTACGAGAATCCCGCATTCTTTGGTCATCAGATTAGACGTTCGATTTGACACACATAAAGAAAGAAGTGGGGCCTATAAACAGTGTACAATCCACGTGCGCACCTGCCGGCCATGTCGGCTACAGTTATCCCTTTGTTCGGTTGACGAAGGCCAAGTACATGCATTTTGCCACGTATCATAGCATCAGAGCTGGGATCCACCTTACCTCGATAACGTTGAACCGTAAATGATCGCTGTCGCTTCCAAATCACAGCCACTAACTATTGTGTAAAAGTGGGTCCCTATCTGTCGTGGGAAGCGTGAAGGGTCCCATACGATCCCACTTTCAGCCGTTTGATTATACTTTTTATGTACGGACACCCTCGGCTTGGATCATGTGGGTTAATTTTTTTATTTCAGAAATGATATTCGTTGTTTTTTTTTTTTTTTTTTTAATTCTGGGCTAAGAATTCTTTTTTAAAAAACCATATAAGTAAAGAAACGAGGAAAAAACAAAACTCCTAGATGGAGCGACACGTCTTTCCACTTGTGTATTAAGAATGCAGATTCTGACAGGGTCCCACGGTAAAGTATAACATGGAAAAAAAAAAAATCTCGGGTTGATTGTTGCTGATTTGCTTGAATTAGAACATCTTTATTTTATTTTTTTGGTAAAAAAGAAGATGTTTTTGAAGTTTTATGATATTTTTTTAATTATTTTTTATAATCTTATATTATTTTAATGTGTTGAATTTAAAAAGTAATTATTACTATAATCTCAAATACTATTTTAATCAAAGTTATCAAACCTTGCTAAGTTAATTGATCTAGATTGATCATGAAAATTTAAAACAAGTTATTTTATTATTTCATTACTTTGATGGTCTGAACAACTATTCTAAATAAAATAATTTTTAGAAATTCCTGTAAAAATTTAAATAAAATTGGATAGTTTAATCAAAAGTTATAATTTTTTTAAATCATTATTTAGATCTAACATAACCAGATCTTCTTCACAATTTAAATTCATCTCACTAATTCATAAATATATGTGCTAGGCCATCCATGTAATCTACAAGAGGTATATCCTCATTTATTTATAGGAAAGTCACATTTGATTGCTCAAAATAATTTGAGAGAATTATTGCGTGAATAATAACTTTTTAAGATTTTGATTGGGGTTTGTTTTTTAATCTACAAGTTAAACAAAAATGTATATTTTTACTCGCACAACATATTTGAAAAGAAAAAATTAAAAAATTATGGTTTTTATATGAAAAGATCAGTTAGTTAACAGTTGTCACGCTTAAAAAATATAAGGTATTTAGATGTAGTTATCCTGAAACGTGATAAATATCTTGTCGCGTTTAAAAATAATAATGTTTAATAAATGTTATGTTCTAAAAGTACGAGAAGATGAAAGTGCACTATTTTATTATATTTTTTTAAAATTATATTACCCAACTATAATTTTTAATTTATTATACTGTTTTGAAAAAATCATCCAGAAAGACGAATATAATTGTTAGATATAAGTCTAGCATTGATTGATTAGAGAAAGAATTTGCATCACTGGTTATGGTTATTAGGTTAAGTCTCAGTGAATAGTATTTATTAAAAAAAAATTAAAGGAAAAATCTTTTTATACTGACTTCGTATCAAATTAGTTAAATTTTATTAGATTAATGCGTGGTTTAGTTTAACTAATAAGTAGATGGGATCAAGTTTTAAATCTCTATTAAAGGGGTTTAGCAAGGAAAAAGGCAAAATAGACGTTATTAGGAGTGGAAACATTTAAGAAAATCCGTATAACCACACTGAAGCCAAATCATTTGTAAAGCGGTGAAAAAGTTGTATATTTATCTGTTGTTTTATAATGTGAGCCCTAATGTTTTAATTAAATATTTATTAAAATAATTTTTTATTAATTAAAAAAATAATTTTAAAAAATAAAATTACTACGGTGTCAATCAATCAAGCACGTATTTTTATTAAGCTAAAATATACGGAATTCTCTAAATATGGATTGGAGTGGCATTATAGTATGGACTAAAAATTCCGTTTTAGTTTTTTATAAAGAAATTACTTGATTTAATTTAATTTAATTTATTGTTAAATCAATCTAAATTTCCATCCAATTATTCCATGAAAAACAAGTGCTAATCACCTGCGTAATAATTACACTGTAATTGTATTATCCTCTCTCTTTCTCCCCCCTCCCTCCCGACCAAATTGCAAAACCATGGAAACATGCTCCACCACCGATAACCTCCGTTTCGTTTTCTCCTCAATCAACAAAATCACTCACCACCACCGATGACCTCCACCACATCATAAGACATCAGCAATAACCTTCACCGTTTCATCACCCACCACCACGTCAGGATTAGCACGGTATCACCTACAGATATCAATACCACCAGCATTAAAAGCTTCATTATTTCAGCCACCACAACCAGTATTGTCGGGTTGGATTGAAGGACGATTTGTGGTGTTTTTAAGATCTTGAAATGATTTTAGTTTAATGTTGATGCAATTAGATCTTTTGGTGTTTTTAAGGTTTGTAACAAAATGATAAAGAATTTGAAATTTGTATGATAGGTTTAAGTTCGAGTCATAATGTATTTTTTATAAAAATCTAAAATAACTGAAATTTTATTTATAATTCTATAAAATAAATTTTTTTAAAAATAATTTTTTTTCAAATTCAAAAAAAAAATAAAATCTTTCATTTTTTTTTTCCCGATATAGTTAAGTTGGTAAAGTAGACGGCATTAAGAGCTACATTTTCTATGTGGTTTTCAGTCCGATTTTTTTTATCCGCTAATGATAATGGTCATAGACCACAGGGTGTGAAGTAGGTTTTGCAAGCTTTTTTCAAGGTGTAAGAATCTAGTTTGTTGTGCTCAAACCGGCTAGGATAACCTGCTTATAATAAAAAAGTTTTGGATGAATATAAATTTAATATAGTAAAGTTTTAATATCTTTTGACCTTATAATCTCATTATCCATTTCTTAAATCTAACCAATTAATTACGGGTTGGCATTTTACTATCACCATTTTCTTTTATAATTATAATTAAATCGACGCAAAGTAGTGACAAGACTCTACAATTTCAAGCCTTGAAATATATGATAAAAAAAAATACAAAATTATCTGTGAGAATTTACCCAATAATTCATTTATTTTTAGATTAATGTGTTTTTTTACAGGTTTGCACTTCTCACTAGCTTCTTTGGAGAAATTTCTTAAGAGTAATTGAGTGGCAAATATTTCTGAACTGGGCTCTACTCTGGAAGGGCCTTTTTCGCATCGAACCCTACTACTGATCCAGGGAAAAGTCAGCAAATTCGGCATAGAAAGCTTTCATTGCTGCGTACATGGAAACATGCTCGAAAGCCCAATACATGTTTGGTCCACGGCTTATCTGTGTCAGGCCTCCACACACACACACACACACCACCCTAAGACGAGAGAAATTACTGGTTTGATAATCTTTGGTGGGAATGATTATTTTTTTAAATATTTTTTTTATTTAAAAATATATTAAAATAATATATTTTTTATTTTTTTTAATATTAAAATATTAAAATAAATTAAATATAAAAAAATAAATATATTTTTTAAAAAACACAACTACGCAACAATAACAAATAAGATCTTGATTCTCTATAATCCATCCATAATAATTATATATAAAAACACAAATTTATTTTAAAATTTTGATCCAATGAAAATATATCTTAATATATAATTTGGTATGTTAGATAATTCTAGGTTTTTTTTATATATATATATTTTAGTCACCTTCTTTTCAGTGCTGATAGTTTACAAGCAAATAATGGATAATTCTGCAGCATAGCATGTCATGAACATGATAGGCAAAGAGTCGAGAGGCAATGCTCTATATGTATTTGTTTTTGCGGTAAAAATTATGTTTTATAAAATTTTATATTGTTTTACTTAAAATTAATTTATTTAGTATTTTTAAATTATTTTAATTTTTTATGTTAAAAATAAATTTTATAAACTAAAAAATATTATTTTTAAATAAAAAATATTTTTAAAAACTACTATAATTATATCGCTAAAAAATCCTAATAAATATGGTGAATATTACCACATAAATTCCTCAAATTTAAAACCTTTTTGCTTTTCATGTATCTTCACTCAAGAAAATAAAAACTCTTTTAACGATTTATCACCAGTTTCTCATAAAAATCACTCAATCCCTCTTTTCATATCAACGATTTTTATATTAAAAAAATCTAATAACAACAAAATTATTATTTTATATTCATCAATTTTTATAAAGCAATCAACCATTCAAAATAATTATAAGATCCAGCTTATGATTTACTTGTAGACTCAGAATTCGGCTAAGGCTGAACTAGTGAATTAAAAAAAAATCACTTTAAATTTATTCTGTTAAGAAAGTTTGAGTAATTAAATGAATTACGTGTCTATTGAAAATATATTAAGGATTGTTTTTAAAATTATTTTTTATTTAAAAATATATTAAAAAAAAAAATTTATTCGAAAGAGTTTAGACCCCGGCTATTGGCATTCTAGATTAATTGTATTTTTTATAAATTTTAATTTTTTTTAATTTTAAATTATTATTTTTATTGTTTTGATGAGTTGATATATTTAAAAAATAAAAAATATTTCGAATGTCTATTAATTATTATTAAAACGAATAAAAATCCACGCACAATGTCACTTTCCCCCCAGGCCCCAACCCCCCCCTCCAAAATAATAACCATAATAAAAATAAAATAAAATAAAAAATAAAATAAATCTCCCGTTGGGTACAAAAATGCCTACCCATGATCGCTCCACCGACACCGGCGCCCAACCGCGTAAAAAAATAACGGCAATAACAATATTTCACACACCCGCCTCTGCAAATACCTCCCCAGCTCCAAGAAAGCCAATCATTTCCAAAACTCTCTCTCTCTCTGGCGATCTAACCAGAGCCAAACAATGGGCTCACTTCCACCATCTCTGGACCTTCCCTCACCGAATGCCAAATCCCAGCAAATTGACCAAACCACCCTTCTCAACCTCTTCAAATCCCAACAAAACCACCTCAACTATTTCTTCCAAAACCTCGATCTCTCTCAAACGTTGACCTTCACCCAAACACTCCTCCACTGTAACGGCACTATTTTCTTCTCTGGCGTCGGAAAATCCGGTTTCGTCGCCAATAAAATCTCCCAAACCCTAATCTCCCTTGGCATTCGCGCCGGCTTTCTCTCCCCTCTCGACGCCCTCCATGGCGACATCGGCGCCCTCTCCGCCTCCGACATCCTCGTCCTATTCAGCAAATCCGGGAACACTGAGGAGTTGCTCCGTCTGGTTCCGTGTGCCAAGGCGAAAGGTGCGTATCTGGTGTCGGTGACGTCCGTTGAAGGCAATGCTCTCACGGCGGTTTGCGATATGAATGTGCGTTTGCCTTTGGAAAGGGAATTGTGTCCGTTTGATTTGGCTCCTGTGACCTCCACTGCGATCCAGATGGTTTTTGGGGATACAGTCGCGATTGCGTTGATGGGAGCCAGGAATTTGAGTAAGGAAGAGTATGCGGCTAATCATCCTGCTGGAAGGATCGGCAAGAGCTTGATTTTCAAGGTCTTTCTTTCTCCTTTTTTTTTAATATTAATTGATATTCAATTGCTTTTATGATTTTATTTTTAATGTTTGTTTTTTTTTGCTATTTGAATTGGGCATCGAGTTAGATTAGAATTAGAATGTGCATAAATGAAGTTGTTGTTTTAGTTAATTGCTGCCGCGATCTACTGAGGTGATATTATTGATAATGTTATTTCAGTTATTTGTTGCTGCCATCTATCGAGATCGATTTTGAAAATTTTTGTTGCTTGGATTCGACTTAAAATGCTTTAGGTAAAGGATGTGATGAAGAAGCAAAATGAGCTACCAATCTGTAAGGAAGGAGATTTGATAATGGATCAGTTAGTCGAGCTGACGAGTAAAGGATGTGGGTGCCTGCTTGTTATAGATGAGGAGGATCACCTGATCGGAACGTTTACAGATGGTGATCTACGGCGTACTCTCAAGGCTAGTGGGGAAGCCATCTTTAAGCTTACAGTGGGAGAAATGTGCAACAGGTACTGTGAAAGAAAACAATGCATTTGGTGTTCTCGAAGTAATTGTGAGTGATCGTTTTAGCTAGACGTTGCTCTGATTTTGTAGCTTGTATGTGATGCCAATTGTTTCTATGATGGAGAGTTTCTTGTTTATCGTTCTTTTTGCTTAATGTTGCAAATCAGGGATCGGGATTAATTTGAGTTTGTGGCAAAACTGCATGTTTCTCAGCGCTTTTTGTCTTGTGTTGTTTCAGGAACCCAAGAACAATTGGTCCTGATGCGATGGCAGTGGAAGCCATGAAGAAGATGGAATCACCACCATCCCCTGTACAATTTTTGCCCGTTATTAAGGATGATAATATCCTGATTGGTATCATTACCCTCCATGGATTAGTTTCAGCTGGGCTTTGATAAAATTTGGGATTTTCTTTTTTAATGCCTCGTAGGTTTTATTTTTTTTTTTAATCTGTGATTCTTTATAATGTTAAAAAACTGGAACACCCACCGGGCAGGGTTCTCTTGTATTTCTTATCATTGTTTCAAAGAATTATTGGATCCGATATGTTCTGTAGATGTAGAGGTGTTGGATATTCTGTCTTTGGATATTTGAGGTAGGGTTTGGTTGTATTGTTTAGTTATTGTTTTAAAATAGAAAAAACAAAGACATCGAAGACTCGGAAATAGGTACAACATTATGTTTGTTAACGAATTAAAAAATAAAATAGTTATCTTTGTATCTTATTTATTTGGTTACAGTAGATAATATAAAATCATATATATATATATATATATTAAGTGTTGAAATTAATAATATTATAATAATTCTAATTATAAAACCAACTATCTTGACTATATGATTTGGAGTTTAATTTTGTTTGATTTTCAAATTAGATAGAGGAAAGATAAATAGAGGAAATAGTGATTGATTTGATCCAATTACAAATCAGATAGAGGAAAGATAAATAGAGGAAATAGTGATTGATTTGATCCAATTACAAATCATTATAAAACCAACTACCTTGACTATATGATTTGGAGTTAATTTTGGAGTTTAATTTTGTTTGATTTTCAAATTAGATAGAGGAAAGATAAATAGAGGAAATAGTGATTGATTTGATCCAATTAAAAATCTAGATTAACTTGTATAAAAAAAAAATGAAAAATCTATTAATTTTTTTTTTTGAAAAAACAAGATTGTTTTGATTATTATTATTTTTTAAAATTTTTAGATCAATCGAGTTGATCTTCTTGACTTATTATTTGAATTTTGTGTTTGGTTAACTTTTAAGTTAGATTTTAAAATTATAATAATTATTATTTTTATTTATATGTTGACTTGATTCAATTTATATTGATCTTTTTGATCTGGATATAGTCTTGGTTGATTTTTAAATCTAATTTTAAAATTATAATAATAATAATTTTTATTATTATATTGACTTGGATTAACTTTTGATTAGCCTTTTTAATCCATGACTCATATCTTACTTTGAGTTGACCTTTAAATTAGATTTTAAAATTATAATAATAATAATTTTTATTATTATATTGACTTGGATTAACTTTTGATTAGCCTTTTTAATCCATGACTCATATCTTACTTTGAGTTGACCTTTAAATTAGATTTTAAAATTATAATAATGATTATTTTTTTTTATGTTAACTTGGATTGACTTAAGATTACCAACCTGACACGTAACTTGGACCTTACCTTGGATTGATCATTGAGTTAGATTTTAAAATTATAATAATAATTATTTTTATTCTTACATTGATTTGTATCAACAATCAACCTCATTTACGACATAAGTTTTGCTTTTAGTCGACCCCTAAATTGAATTTTAAAATTATAATAATAATCATTTATATTTTTATATTGACCAAAATCAACTTGACCTATAACTAGAGCCTTGATTGATAACCCAAACTTTATCCTGAGTCAATTATTAAATTGAATTTTAAAATTATAATAATAACTTTTATCTTGCATGTCCTAGTTAAAAAATTTTATATTAAATTTTTTTTACAATGATATTTTAAAAATAAAAAATAAAAATATTATCTTTAAAAATATATTTTCCATGTATATTTTTTTTAAATACATAAATTCAATTTAAAATTATCTTGTAGACAAATTTATTTTTATACCTTTATCCTTAACTCTTCAATCAAAGGCATTTATGTTTTCATTGTCTCCCTCCTTTTTATCCTAAAAAAATAAACAAACACTACCTTGAAAAAGTAGCATGAAAGCAGGATCCTCAATCCTGTAGACCTGCCAAGAAACATTTGGCCCCTACTTAAACCTAACGTTGCATCCTTTGCATACTTTAAGCCTGTTGAAAACACGGTACTAATTGTGTTTTATAATTTTTTTTTATTAAAAATAATTTTTTAAAAATAAAAAATAATTTCTTAAACAAAAAATATTTCGAAGAGCATCGAATATCATAATACCAAATAGCCCAGCATGCATTAGAGAAACAGCTATTCCGACAATTGTTTTGGGGCACCCAAGTTTAGCTTCACCAAACACGTCGCGGACCTCGAACCCAAGCTTTCAAGCCGGATGAATGAGCATCTGAACGACTGCGCCACAACATTCAGTTGTAACAAGATATAGTTAATTTACAGTCAGGCCAACTGCTGGCTTCAAGTCGATTTCATATTTCGGCATACAGGATTGGGGACAGCATCAACGCATTATCTGGGACCATCATAATCCATACACCGCGTTATCCAGATACTTTTCTTGTGAGGTTGCACGATCATCCAAAAAGAAGCCAGCTCTGGAGAAGAAAAATGGTTTCGAGGGGTCCCCCTACAAAGAGATTAACACATCTTTACGTATCGAGATTGTCAGAAGTCTAATCGAAAGACTAAATTTCTGTCCAATTTGAAAAAACTACTTCTCCAAATATGGAAGTGACCTGAAGCAGCAGGAACATAGGATGGAAGCAGAAAGAACACAAATTTTCGCCAAAACTACACGCCAATATCCCATTCCCCCAACTCCGAGGAGCTAGAGGAGCTTGTACTATCAGATGAGACTTCACATTTCAATAATAAAGAAGCATCATCCACGGCTTCACTTGTAACAAATGCAGACACTTTTGGGCTCTCCCTTGGCTTTTGTTCCCCTGTAACAAATGTAGACACTTTTGAGTTCTCCTTTTCCATTTGTTCATTCAAGGATCTTAGATGGAGCATTCGTGCCTTCACTTCTTCCTTTATGCTAGAAACAGCACTCCTCTCATTGCCATAAGGTGTTGCAACACGTTGTGATTGATGTTTTTTCTCTTTTGATTCTTCTGAGTGAAATTCTGGGCTACCGATATGGTTGGGTGCTTCTGAATCATCTTTGGAGATATATGAGTACAATGACAGTTTAAGCTCTTCTCTAGCCCACCTGTAGACTGCGCTTAATTTCCCTTCCAAGGCTTCAATAAGTATATTCAGCTTGCTAATTTCATATCGGAATACGAAGATCCTTTCACTCCAAGCACAGGAACATAGCTGTTTTGCATGATTCAGACAAGAGTATCTGTCCATGGAGCATGAACAGCGTACTGCAGAAAGGTGTAAATCATAGAAGCATATGCTGCATTCCCTTTTGCTGACAGCATCGAATTTTGTGTCCATCTTCTCTGACTGAGAAGGGGTGCACAGATATTTCCTTCTATTGTCTTCCATCTCCATTCGTGTCTGCGAAATAGGGGAATGAAGGAAAATGATAAGAAAACAAAATAGACCAGGCCATTGCCACAGCTTAGGTTAGGAAGGGTTTCACAGGTAAATGTACAATGCAAAGTAGGAATAGGAAAAGAACGTAACACAAAAGAAAACAGTTAGACCTGCAAAGAAATTTATAATGATGACACAAAGTGTTCTCTGGGAATATTCATATTAAATTCAAACAGGAGCGGAAGTCCACTAAAAACTGAACCAAGAAATTGAAAGGCCTACCTTGAGCGCTTTTGCTAAGATCCCATCCTTTCCAGAGGCATCTTTCCATCTTAAATTATCTATGGTGCTCTTCCTCAAGAGTGAAACTTCCCACTGTGCCCTCACAGCTTCCTTAGCTGCACCCAACAACAGCTTGTCATGGGAAATTGAAGTCTTCCTCCCCTGTTCAGAGTAGACTTCTACTGCAAGCTGCCCATGTGGCAACCACTCAAGTAGAGCAACATTTACTACCTCAGAACAATTAAAGCCACTATCAAATCCTGAATAATATGCTCCTGGAAGGACAAGAACAAACTCTCGTGGATTCTGAATGCAACGATAAACAGGTATACCTTCAGACTTCAATGCAGAAGTGGATAGTTTGGCAATCTGTATTAGATAAAAACAATATCATCTGAGAGATTTACAGAGCCTGTGAATGTATCAGAAGATATTAAGAACCTAAAAACTAAAAAACAGACAGCACTACAAATCAACTTTCATATGCACCAAGATCACCGCAAAGGACACGAGTCAGAAAATAATTAGTTATAGCAAAATTACAATTAAGCTAAAGAAACATCAACTAACAGTACATGATGCTTAATACCAATTTACTTGAAAGATATGTAACTTTATTCTCATTGCATGATAAGAACCTTGTTCCACAGTCATTGCAAGCAATGATCATCTAAAAAACAAATTTCACTTCCATGATGTAATCTAACTAGAATTTTATCACCACTCACCACCCTATCATGCAATGTAAGATCTTCCGCCAACACATCTGGCAGGTACTTCTTCATAGCAGCTTTAAACTTAACAGCATATCTACCTGGGACACCATACCATATCTTGGGGTCACCCAGGTGCATGTAACAGAGTGAGTACAAGTGGTGCTCTTCAACTTTCTGTTTTCCAAAAAATGAGCAGAATAAGCAAGCAAACAATTTCATTTTTTGTTTTTGTGTGTGTGTGTTGGGGGGGGGGGGGTTGTTATCTGATCATTCACTGCAGACCAAAAGTGAATAAACATGAACCTAGTCATTAAAAGAAACATTGGAACTTACCCAACAAAATGTTGTGAAGCACATTCCAATGTTCAGTCGAGGCACCAAGACACCACAAGTTTTGTTGCTTTCAAAAGAAAGAAGAGAACCTGCAAGCCTAGGTGTATTATTTAGATTCCAGCCCGATTCCAGATATTCATCTGTATTTGAAATACTGGATTTGGTGGGAAATCCACTGCCAAAAACTCCAGTGTCCAGGTTGCTACCATAAAGCACCTAAAACCAGCAGAATGATAATTAAAGCTTCCCAATCATACAGAAAGAAATACAGAAACAGTGATTCAATGTGCTTGTCATATATATATATAATAACATACACACACACACACACACACACACACATATCTGTTTGTGTGTGTGTGTGTGTGTGTGTCTGCTTTCTTCCAGCATACCTCCATTTCTTCAGTAGGATTCTCAGTAATTCGTCTATACTCACCCTCGATATTCTCCACTGATGGTTTCCATTGCTTTGAACACCCATCTGAATCCATATTTGCAAACAAATCCTTACTAGAGCGAAAATACTGGCTTTTGAAATCATCAGCACATTTCTTGAAAGATTCAAGAGTAAATTTTGGATCAAGTTCAGATGCAAAGCCATCAGTGTTAGAGCATCCAACTCCATCACAATTCATGCTGTATCCTTCACCAACTTCATGATCTTTATCCATTGTAACACTATTTCTCTTACAGCTTACAATTTTACTCTTTATATGCTCATCTTGAAGCCCATCTATCCGTTGAATGTGCGTCATAAATGGAGCAGTTTCCCAGATATTCTTTTCCTTAATAAGGCAGGGTGGGTTCCACGAAGGAGGAGGTATGATCCGGCAAATTCCATATCCCTCTGCTCTTGAATGTACACTTGCAATATACTTCAGTGTATCTCTGAATTCCTGCAGTTATAACTTATACTGATTCAGAAATCAAGGTTTTTTTACCAGCCAGTGAGCCAGCACTCCAAAATGAATAAAGACAATAGGAACATCCAAGAAGAAGCTGTACCAGTGAAATGCACAAAAGTCATTCATTACAATTAGACAAAAAATACCTCTTCTGTAGGGTGGAAAACAGGAACCTCTTCAAGGACATCATTTCTTCCATCCTCAGGACGCCAGCTTGCCGTTACCTGCTCCATCGCTTCCATTAATGGGTCACGGCATTACAGAAGATATAATTGGAAGAGGACAAACTTGATGAAGAGTACCACCTTTAGACAATTACTGCAATCTGCACATCCATAGGCAACCCCTTTTGGAAGGGAGGTTTCTGAAGGAATATCCTGTGAAAGATATTAAATAACATGCGATAGTTATGACTTACGAACCCTGATCTCCAACAGTTGAAAGAAAAAAAAATCCAGTTATTCTTATGTGCTTCTGCAAGCATGTCAACCATGGGAAAGCTACTTCCAACATTATCTAGAGAGAAATTTATCTATTTTAATATGGGAAAATGATTAAATAACGAGTACCTTTTTTCCCCCCCAAAGAATCCTCCTACTAATTCTATGTATATATTTTTTCAGAGCAATTTGTTAAAATATGCACAAGGAGATGGATGTGTGCATGCAAATGAGCCAAACTTATTTAGCATGCTGATTTTCTACAGAGGACATGACAGAACAATATACAACAACACTCCCCAGCCAAGAGAAAGCCATTTCGATGAATTCCACGTCTCATAATTCCACATCAGACAAAATCAATCAAATCCTCATCTATTCAAATTATCACAATTGGATGCTCCAGAATAGTTAAGCCTAAGCAATGGGGAATAAATGAAGAAAAAAAACAACAGCAATTGATATTTGAGACTAAAATGTCAAATATTAATTCCCATCATTATCTTTATTCACCCAGTATTGATTCAGTATCGTCTTTGTTACCCATGAGCAAAACAACACAACAATATCATGTCAGCTTATCCCAGATTGCTTTTGCAGCTAAAAATATTAAAAAAATGAAAGAAAATCTGATTAGATGCTTTCCAAATACACATCTTTTAGCACACCAATTACAGAAAGCTCAAATTGCTTACTATGCAATGATGTCCCTTTGAACATATTTTGGAATATCAAAACAAATTATATGAAGAAAATTTCTCATAAATGCTACCCAATTTAGATTGATATTAAGCAATAGAGATTTATGCTCCAGATTGTAAGAAATTAACAGACATCAAAGCCCACAACTCGAGACAGAGGGGGAGAGAGAGAGGATATGACCATGTCAACTTGTTCAAAGTTTGATTCCACTAGGTTCTGATTTTTCTGGCCATGCAGTATGCTTGGCCGATGCTGAAAAAATCTCTTTAATGTTGCAACATCAATCATGTCAGTCGTGTCATCCATCTGGATTGTCTTTCCTTTGGACACACTGGTAGATGGTGTGGAATTACCATTTTGTACACTAGTTTCTACCTTCTTCAACCTAAAGGATGTCAGAGATGCAAACCCTGGCGGGACAGAAAGTTTTTCTGCATTTTCATTTCTGAGATCACTTCTTGAGCGCTTTGTCCTCATTAGTATAGTAGTCTTAAGCCCAAAAGGAGAACATAAATAAATTTGTTAGACTAAAACTTCATGTTTATTAAGTTTGATTGCGTCAATCGCTCGACAATCTTCACCACCAATTCATGTCCAACAAAAGCCTAGAAACTTTTACCTGCATCAGCCAAAGAGAAGCAAATATGAAAAATTTCAAATTAATGGATTCAGCCATTACTACAAAGCAGTAAGAATGCAACCGATGTTGAAATCTGGGATTGTTACACGTGTATTCTGATCCAAAACTGACAAAATAGTAAATAAGGAAGATTTAAATCATAATCCAAATCCTCCTGCTCCTTCTCTATCAAAAGACTGATCTAAAATAACTTCCTTTGTGATGCCTTTCTTGAAATCAAGTTGCGCAACCAAAAATAAAGAGAAAAAAAGAAATCAAACGAGACAACTACAACGTGTACCACATAAACAAGTTCCAGGATGCAATTTCGGACAACTAATCACATCAACCTTGTAAGTTTCTCATCATAGTCCAAGACCTCCAAGCCAGTTATATGTATCTTCTGAAAAGCAAAAACCTGCTCCCCTCTTACATTACACAGAAGTTCAAACACGCCCACGCAAAATTTTTCAATTTCTTCTAATTGTTTCACATTTCCAAGACTTACTACCACGTTTATTTCAACCAAGAAACTTATCGCTACGTTATGCCAATCCATCCATGACAAACATTACATGTTAAACGCATACACTTCAATAAATCTTTCCAGCACATGTAGCATTTCAGAGAAAAAACAAATGGGTTTCTTCCCATTTGAATTTCTTGAAACAAACCACAGACATTTCTTTACTCAATATATATCATCAACAACTCACACCAGCGAACCCAGCATCAAAATAAATAAATAAGAGATAAATAATAGAGAGAAAAACGCATACCGTGAAAGTTAGCCTGAACCCGTGAGGAAAATTAAATAATTAAACAAGGGTTTCATGAAAGGCCTGCAGATATCAACGGCGAAGAAACCACAAAAAAATATAAATAAATAAAATTGATGAGTACTTCAGATTTATAGTTTATTCTAAAAACAAAATAATTATATTTTAGATTTCAGATTTACATGTAATTACCTTGATGACCGTGGTTTTGGGATGCATGACCTCGTCTAGCTGTCTGACCATAAAGGTAAATTTATATGCCGTTTTGTCAAAAATCCACACTTCCCTCGATAAATGGTAATGGGCCGAAGATCTGGCCCATTAAACTATCAATGCCTAACCAATACTAGCCCATGTCAAGAATTTACAAGATGTTTATTTGAAGAAAAGAAAATTATAAAGATTTAATTAATAACATAAGGGGTGTATAAATATTTGAGTTTCATGCAACTGGGAGGAGCTGTGTTTAGGACAATATAAAGAATTGAATGTGAAGGAAAATTGATGCTCATGAGGTAGAAATTAAATCAATTGAAAAAGCTAATTTATTCCCATTTTAATATTTAAAAAAACTATTTTGAATTTTTTAATTATACCTATTATCCATATATATTTTTTTGAACTCGTTACAGATTGTAATAAATCAATCCCTTCATGATGTAATATTAGAAAAATATAATTACAAAAAAATAAGAATATAACATAAAGACTACATTAGCACTTATATACCCAGATTGTATGCATTAATTTCTAGGTTATTTATACGTAACTTGTATACCCAGATGGGAGATACAATCACAAAGATAGAGATTGAGGTGGTCCAAGCCGACTTTGATAATATATTCGAGCATAAAATAAGAGTATGAATTCTAAAAGATTAACATATATTAAAATTTGTTCAAGATGCCAAATATACACTGTACACAACAAATAAATAAACCCTAACAGTATACTAGCACAATCTTGATTCCTAGCTAGCTATCATTTGATCCAATCAAACATTGAGTTGCTCCTCAAATAATCCAGACACTACAAATACGTACATCACAAATCAACAAATGGTAATATTTTCATAGGAAGACCATACTGTTATGATCAATCTCAAATCTCATATCTTCCAAATTTGAAGCCACCACCCCGTCTCCCAAGCTATTTTCTTCCAAGTTCATGTCATCCCATAAGAAGCCATACTCATCAACCGCCTTGGAGCTGATGTCGGTATCCATTGGGTACTTAGAATTCCTGTCCTGTGATAGCTGGAGAAGGTTTAGCAAAGAGGTTTGGTCTTGATGGGGTGTGGTTGATGATAATGATATCATTTGCTGGTACCCACGAGCCAGAGTTTGATGATCAGCTGTTAAATTCACAGTGCTCCCGCTATCAGTTGTGGACTCGAACATGAATTTTGTGCTGTCTTCTGCTTTGCTTTTGTGGAACACCCTGCAGAGAACCCAGTCCTCCTGTGATCACCAAAACGTTGAACTTTAATTAGCAAACAGCAAGGAATTTATTTCACCATGTACTGATTTTAGGTACAGAAAACGATGTATTATGTATAGGAAATGGACAGTTTCCTAATTGCTACCAGACACTTTCCTCCTAGGTTCCTTCAGATAAAAAAACTCTCTGGTTTTTCCTCGGATTCTCTCATCATGACAGTGTAGTATAAAGCAGCAAGCCAACTTGCATGTCTGGCTTTATTCACTGATTGAACTCTGAGAATACAATTTTTCCTTTTTTTTTTTAATTTCTTAATAAAACATGTTATTTAGCTATGTCCAATATTTGTCAAGCTTATAAGCTGTCAAATTGTCAAGCACATAACACACGGTACCTTGGGGGGCATATGTGGGGTCTCGAGACGAAACTCATGCATGATCCAACCAGTTTTGATCCCATTGGGAGCCCTGTTCTTGTAGAACACCAAGGTCTTTCTCATCCCCACAACTTCACGGGTTGTGGGATCCAGAACAGTACGATCCTTCCCTGTAGCTTTCCAGTATCCAGATGTTGTAGCACGATTGGTTCGGAATCCGGTGGCATATTTCCGGTCACGAAAGCTGAAGAAATACCACTCCGTTGCGTTGAGCTTAGCCACCTCTAGATTCCACATAGACACGCATGGTAAGTTCAAATATTAATTAGCAAGCAGAAGCTATAGATCATACAACAACATTGCTTTCATGAACATGGATTTATGTCTTATAGTTTTCTGACTCCTTGCATGCTAGACAGAAATATGGCTGAAAGTTACACGTATTAACCTTTTGTTGTATAAATATAAAGGAAAGCTTTTTTTTATCTTATAGTATTTAATTACGTATATGGTCCTAATTAAGTTTTCTTTTTATTACTCTAAGATGAAATAGTGATAACTAAAAGTGGGCCACATAAATTATAAATGTATAATTAAGAACTCTTTAGAGATAGAGTGTATATTAAATTTAACGAGGCAAAGGTTAGGAGGCCATGCATGGTCAGGGGGAAAAAAACAAAGAAAGAAGCCTAAACTTATCGTCAAGTTCAATTAGGAAGGATTAATTTCTGGGAACATGCAGAATTCGATTTGTGAGAATGAAACTCCCAATGTTTTCTTGGACGATAGTGGTGAAGTCGTCATGTCTATAGGAAATAAAAGTGGGAAGGGAACAACTTTATTATTGATTCTGTTTTACGTTGTTGCTTTTGAAAAATGGAGATCACTAATTACAGTAGAATATAATAGTTGGAAATCACGCATTGGCTTGTTGTTTGACTCCTGAAGCCTCACAGATAAACAACAAGCGATCGATCCCTTGCACCTTAAGGTAGTAAAAGCCAAAATCATTTAAGTTTTTGGACTATAACATGCATGGATTCCTGATCATATCTAGAAAATCTTATCCTTATACACAGAACCGCCCCTTCATTATTAGGCAATCCCTTGTAAGAGGTAAGAACAATACAAAAAAAAACACAGAAATTACGAGATGGGATGAATTAAAAGAAGAATATAATTTTATCCCTTGTGTAGCTTAAGACAAGTACATCATGAACCAATATATATGTACTGTCAACCAGTAACACTTGCCAGGACATGCAGCAAGTGATTTTTAGCAGATATCAGGGGATATGATTCAGGACATCATAGTTTCACATGATCACCAACAAATTGCTCCCATATATTGTAAAAAAAAAAAAAAATTTGAATAAGACATGCTAACTAATTGCACGGCCACGTCCATGTACTAAGTGCTTGCCTACAGTACTTCTAGGAAATTATATATGTATAGGAAGGCAAGAATTCTACTTTCGAAAAGGAGATATATCATTTTTCTGGTGGTGGTAAAGCATCCAGAAAAAAATGGCTTTAACATGACCTGATAAGTTTATAAAGTAGCCACATGAAAGCCAGTCTCTCTTAAATCTTCTTATTTATTAAGAAGTATAGGCTTAATCCAAATGCTTAATGATCACACACAAACACACATGCATGTATACAAGTACTTAAGAAATATTTCTAGTAAAAAATGGAAAATGGAAGACAAAATTATTGTACGACAATGAATCCCAACTGGTGAGAAGCTCCTTGCAGTTTACTATTCATAAATATTTTGTCTGCTGGTTCTGAGAAGACATTGACAAGACTGAAAGCCATTATATTTATTATGACCTCTATATCCTTGTTGTGACTTCCAACTTAATTACCAAAACAAAGTAAAACAATAAAAACGGTTAAAATCACAAATTACCACACAAGAGGTCCGATAACCTGGCCAAATGCTATTCAACTTCGCACTCATCAATGGTGAGTTTACATTAATTAAGAAGTTTGGCAGTAATTATCATTCAGAGTTTATAGCTAAGAGCCTTGCCCCCTCTCAGCCTCTCTCTCTGTGGATCTTTCTCGCTATGCATGTGCGCGCGCGCGCAACAGGTACTAAACCAAACATGTCTGTCTGTCTAATTTGTCTGGCTTGTACAGGGCCGAAATATCAAATCGTTTTTTCATAATATGTATGTCTTCAGCAGAGCTAAAGCACAAAGAACAGCGAGCATGGACCATCCGTTTTCTTGAATTTCATCATTAACTAATCAAACAATGCATTTATATATAGTTGATGATATTCACGAGTCATGCAAGAACTAATATATCTTCTACCAGTTGTAATGAAAGCTCAAGGAGATTAGAAGGTGCTGGGAAAATTGAGAAGAAGAAACTAAGAAGTGGAAATCAATCAGTGGTTATAAAGGGAGGAGACCTACCAGGAAGTTGCCATGGCTCGCAAGTATGCAAGTCAATTTCTACCAGAGTTCCCTTCAGGACTTCTTCATTTGTGATCTTTTTGTAGAGGTAATGGCAGACAAGCTCTTCATCATTAGGATAAAACCTAAACCCTGGAGGCAGAGTTGCTCCAATGTCTCTTAGTCCCATGATGATTGTCTTTTGAAAGGAAAATCTAGAGTATAATATGCCAAGTTTAAAACAGGAAGCAAGATTTAGATATGTGGGAGAAAGGTTGGTATTTGTGTGTTTATATACATGGTTAGGATGACAAGTGCCTTTGCCAGATAGAATTTCTTATAATATTCTAGTAGCAGGCCATGCTTGCGCAGCTAGTTAGTTAAAGTGGGAAGTTTCAAGCAAAACCAAAGCTACAAGAAATCTTTTTCTGGGAGATTGTTCTGAAATTAATTAGATCAATTGGATTCGACATATATTGACAAAAATCCATAGCTTTTTATTAGAGAAACCTTCCAAAACACCCCTTTTTTAATTATAATATAAATATTTCTTATCTACATTAATTCATCTACATTATATATATGAATATTATCTATCTTCATAATACACTCTTTATAGGCAACAAAAAACAAAGGGTGATATGAACATATGAACTTAATTTCACGTGCGCGCCCTATACGTGCTGGCTTAGCCAATATAATTACTGAAAAATAAAAATAATATGATGATCAAGAGCTCATTATTAACATATATACTATATTATATCCATCCAATGTGTATATTCTCTTTTTTTTTCCTGGATTATGTGCTTTCTTTCTTTTTTCTTGCTGACCATTTTCCAATTACTTACGAAGATGGGTTACATGAATCCTCATATATTTATGTACACACAACGTGTGCATTTGGATATTTCTATAAATATCATGTAATTGATTCCTCTCAGCTATCATCACTACTTTGTTTAAAATGTTGAATTCAAAACGTAAAGATTAATTATATTAAAAAATTATATAAATTACATCTTAAACTTCACTTAAAATTTTAAATTTTTATTAGATTGAGATGGTTATTTGACCAATTATTAGCTGAATTTTTTTAAACCCTAATTAAGCTTTCTAAATTGTTAAATGATAATAATTGCATGGAATTGAGAATTAAATAATAAAAAAATAATAATAAATAATAATAATGATATTACTTTTTTATTATTGCACAACTAGATCAACGCATATAATATACTCAAGTTACACGAAAATTAGGTGACGAATATTTTTTAGAATAATTTTTTTTTTTGAACTACAATTGTGTATATATAGAATAGATTAGCCGTATTTTATCACGCCCACGGTGTTTTAGGTATTTTGGGGGTTATAATTAAGCTGTATTATGATTGATTGAAATTAATCAGGTTGTCAATTAATTGATTAAATCAAAGGTCATGATTGACTAAACGATGCTGAGAGTGTTTTATTAAATAATTAATCGGCAGGATTAATCTATGATAAGTGGGTCCATTAATTGGTTCGATAAAATGCCCACAAACAAACTGTCCCAAGCACGTGAACCATTTGATTGATCTTAGACCTATATATAAACATGGACAGCTCGGGAAAAAAAATCAAATTAAATAGCTGGAAATTCTGAGAGATTAATATTGTTAATCATGAACTCCTTCATATGCATATGAGAGCCCGATCTGTTCAATTTTTTTTTAATTCATCATTTTTATTTTTTTTTGGATTGATGCAAGAGTTGCATGAAATTCAGGGCCCACTAATGATGAAGGATATCAGGCCCATATATCAATGCATATATACGCACATACATGGTGAATTTATATAATTAATTTGGTATGAATTTTGTTTTCTAGATGATAATGGAAATGAGGACAAAAGGATATTTGTCACGGCATGTAATATTTAATGATAATAATTAAAGGGATGGCATGCTGTGCATCATGACAAGACTGGGGTCACGAGGGCTTAGCATGCCATTGAAATAATAGAGACCTCATTTTTAATTCACTACACACATCAACTTTTGTTCGATTAATGTTCCAAGATAAAAAGGGATATATAATAAGAAATGAAAATGTATTTAATCGGAGAAAAAAAAATGATTATTAAAATAAATCTCTTTAATTTTTATTCTTTTAAAATAAAATGGATACAAAAACAAGTAACTTTGATCTCGACCATGTAACTATTTAAAAGACCAACAACACATGAACATGTCAAGACACACGAAGTAAAGAATATCCTTTCAAATCGAAGGAGGAATGCTTGTACGACATGCTAAGAAATGAATACATGCCAAGGTGTCCTTAGACGATGGAGGGTCATTTTCACCACTATGTAAATGATATATATGAGATTATTACAAGCATACATTGCCGGATGGAAACATATATGGAAGCTCAAAGAGAAACAAAATTAAGTGATTAATTAGGCTAGTTGAGGTCCTGTCGGGAAAAGCACAGGATTGATTAACGCAAGATTAATTAAAATTAACATGCAATTTACTCAGGGAACTGGATATGTTTATGTCAAATGATCATGAGAACATTGTTAAGAGATTAACTGATTTTGTTAGCTGATTGATCACCGATCAAAACAAGAACAATAAATGAACACCATGCATGTATATCCACACACTGATCATCGACTTGATGGGATGAAACCGGCGATGTTGATTTTTTCAGTTAAGATTAGAAACTAATTAATGGGAACATAAAATGAAAAGGCCGAGTTCTATGTGTAATTAAGGGAACAATCAAGTACAATGATAAGGGTATTATATATAATTACCGCATGGAAACTTATCACTAGCAACTCTATTGATTATTTTGTTGAATCATAAACCCTAAATCAACGGGAGTTGAACGCGTTTAGACTGCGTTTTAAGGTACACGTCATAGGAATGGTGACGTGCGTAGAGATCATTCTAAAATTAAAAATCATGACAATCCAAAGCAAAGGCAAAGATACAAATGATTGGTGAGTAGTAGGGTTAGGGTTCTTGCCAAGGTGGGAATTGTTTTTTGTTAGGTGTGTGGATGATGTTTATACAAAGAGTGACGGCTTGATATTCCTCCTCAGAGACCAATAATTTCATCGCTCAGCCTCCTTTCATGGTGTCCTTGTACTTAGCTCTCTTGCATAAGTTACGGGCTCTTTCTATATGGGACATATAATTTGGGTGTCACACACAATACCATTCCTAGCAATCACATGCACTGTGATGACTTGTAAATGACAGCGTGGTCCCACGAAAACATGCCTTCTGACCTATGAAATCCTGCCAACTAAGTACCACTTCAAGCCAACGTGGCATTGTTTAGTCCTCCTTGGAAGCTTGTTCTTATTGGGGATGTTGTCAAAGATCGAAATCATTCCTCTTTGGCCGACACAACAGCCCCCTATACAAATTCATATTACCTATAAATACATACATATATATAAGTATATTAACTAATGCATTTATTATCTCAATGATTATCCTAAGATTTGTTATCATATAGTTTATAGACATAGCTGACAAGAATGATTTTAAGACGTCATCAAAAAGAACAGTTTTCTTCTCATAATTATTATGTTCTGTTTTTTTTTTTTTTTACTATGTTATTGACATTTGAGTCAACAACTGGAGCACCAGAGAGGAATATATAACCTCCCTTCTTTTGTTTAATCTTTCTCTCTATCTGCGCAGAGAGATAAATAGCTAGTGATCGATCGAGGGAGAGGAGTATATGTATACTTAATTTCTTGAACAAATTAAAATGTCAATGGAAACTAATTACAACACGAAAAGAATCATTGAAAAGCAAGTCCCCAGATGGCACTTTATGTTTATTTCATAATATATTCAACGAAAAACCATTATAATTATGATTAAATAACAAGAAAAATATCGTTCGGAAAGCCATGATCGGGGAGTTAAACTTTCAGTTGATATAAAATTAATAAACAGCAATGAAAGAAGAAAATGCCGGTGACTGCTTCCTGAGATGCGGCATGTAAAGGTGGATCTTTGAAAATAATGCTCCACTTTACGTGACGATTTAATTTCTATGACTTTCCATCTCCTTTCTTCTTCTTCTTTTTATCCTTGTTTCACTTTGATTCCATGAACCCTTTTCGGAAAAAAAAAATAATTATCTCAAACTTTTGAAAACCGGGTGTGTGGTGAGATCGATCGTAGATGACTCACCGCCGTTATCAAATCAATGTATAGTAAAAAACAAAAATAAAAATATCAAGCCCCATAATTAATCACCATGCACAATAATAATCTTGGATGCTTTAGCTTATTTTAGATCCATGTAATCAAAATATATAAATGCATGATCTTGTTGTACTTTTTTTTGGGTAATTAGGGGTATTTAGGATATCTTCCATGTATACTGACTAATTTTTTAAGACTCTAAAATTAATAACCATTTAATGATTCTAAAATTTATAATATTCAAATAAAGAATTTCTAAATTCTTCCTGTTAGACATCTTGTTGTCTTGGACTTGAAGATATATTGTACATATGATTGCATGCAAAATTAATAAAATTGTTATTTAAGAGTTATGTTATTAATTACCTAAAGCTAGATTTTTAATATAATTTTTTAACTGAGATTTCAATATTATGTAGAGAATTATTTTGATCCTAAAAATTATATTATTTTTTAATAGTATCAATCTCAGGAAAAAGAAGCATCAACCTTACAAAATTATGCGACTTTCATGAATATCCAGCAGTTAATTTGCATATATAGTGAGTACTGCTAGCGATTGACCATGCTGGATATTAATTATTTGATATCGGTAGCGGAAGGGATTGAAAATCCTGTTATCTGAGATAAAAAGAAAAATCATATGTGAATTGGACTCTTGTTGAGATTCCAAACGCCATCATTTCCCCGATTACAGTAGAAGAACACCTGGCGTTCAAGTTCTGGTGTAATTGTCGAGTGTTGTCATGAAGATCTAAAAAGTATAGGATGCATATGCTTTTGAAGCTTGCTTTTTATTCACAAGATCCTTCAGAATAGGTAGCTAGACACCCTTTTGTCAACAAAGCTAATGTAGGATATAACTAATCTAGATCAACTGTAGACATATCCAATTACACCATAAAAGGAAATTTCAGTGCATTCGAAGCTGGTTTTGGAATAAAATGGCGCACTCAGTGGATAAAGGAGAGTGGTCAGACAGTGTCTAAATTTAAAGCTTTATGTCCTTTTCAGTTTTTTTTTTTTTTTAAATATTGTTTCTTGCTAATGTGACCACAGAAAAAGATTCGGTTAATAGCTTGAAAACGAGGGAAATCGTTAACTACAAGCATAAGCATCCCTTGATCATGTTGGCCTCCCTAACTAAGTGATTATGATCATAAAGTAAATGCAAGCATTACCAGCCGAGAAGATTATACAGATCATTAAGTTCA